ACACATTCATTCCCTCACTGATTTAACCTTACTCTCACACACTCATGTTTACTTGGTCACTTATTTAACCTTACTGTCACTAACACACTTTCATTCCCTCACTTATTTAACCTCACTCACATTTACTCCCTCACTTATTTAACCTTACTCTCACTAACTTACATTTACTCACCCACAGGATGGCAGACTCACCAATACTCAGCTTCAAAAGCTTTTAGCCAGTCTGTTCAATGAGTTTGGTAAGTGATCGTCATTGCTAATACTCTGTTTCCGGATAAGGCATTGTCCACAAGGGATCCAGGAGCTTCTTTTTAAAAATAATATTGTTAAATAGAGATGTCGCGAACTGCTCGCCGAACTGTTCGCAAACTGTCCGCCGGCGAACAATAGCGTGTTCGCCTTGGGCGAACATATACGATTTCTGGTCCGCCCCCTATTCGTCATCATTGAGTAAACTTTGACCCGGAACCTCACAGTCAGCAGACACTTCCTGGGAGGGAGGGTCTGCTGCTGATTGGCTGGAATGTGTCTGCTGTGAGGTTCCGGGGTCAAAGTTTACTCAATGATAACGAATAGGGGGCGGACAGGAAATCGTATATGTTCGCCCAACGCGCTATTGTTCGCCGGCGGACAGTTCTCGAACAGTTCGGCGAGCAGTTCGCGACATCTCTACTGTTAAACAGTTTTTTAATAAAGACAAATGCCATTCCCACCATGCAATAGTGCTATTTCACCGGGATAATGCTGGTTACCTTTAATAACCTCTCCTTGCCTCCTGTTTCTTGTTACCTCAGGTTACCACTAGAGATGTCGCGAACTGTCCGCCGAACTGTTCGCGAACTGTCCACCGGCGAACAATAGCGTGTTCGCGTTGGGCAAACATATCCGATTTCCGGTCCGCCCCCTATACGTCATCATTGAGTAAACTTTAACCCGGAACCTCACAGTCAGCAGACACTTCCTGGGAGGGAGGGTCTGCTGCTGATTGGGTGGAATGTGTCTGCTGGCTGTGAGGTTCCGGGTCAAAGTTTACTCAATGATGAAGTATAGGGGGCGGACCGGAAATCGGATATGTTCGCCCAACGCGAACACGCTATTGTTCGCCGGCGGACAGTTTGCGAACAGTTCGGCGGACAGTTCGCAACATCTCTAGTTACCACCTCTCGTTACCACTGGATTATTCCTCTATAAATAGTAAATTACCCCCTTTCATTACCTCTTGTTACCCCTTCTCATTACCTCTGGTTACCCCCTCCTATTACCCCTAGTTACCCACGGTCATTACGTCTGATTGCCTCAAGTTACTGTTTCTACAGACCTTTGAAAATTTAAAGGAACAAATATGTATTCCTGACCCTATAGTGTTAAAACCACCATTATTGACCCACCCCCCCTCCTGCTTTGCCCACCAAATATGTTATAATCTTACCTTTATTCCAGTCTGCTGCTGCTGGCACTGCCCCCTATCTGCCTTCTTGGCTGACATTATCAGAATTGTTGCTCATATCCAATTACAATACTTTTACCATATGATTGGCTGAGTCAAGGAGGCAGATAAGGGGCAATGCAAGCACAAGTCAAAAACAGCCCTGGTCAATCAATGGATCAACAATAAGCTGTTGTTCTGGTGACAATAATGCCCCTTCAATGCTATTTTCCCAGATTTTTTGTGGCCCAGAGTGTCTCTTGCATATTAAATATGAAATGTATGGAGGTGAACACTACTATAATGCCCCTCCCTCAGCTGGCACAGGGGCACTGACTGACCTCCATTAGGGTGTCTGTATCAGAGTAGTAGCAGTTGCTGGCAGTGACCCACGGTTCATGTAATATTACTATTTTTATGCACAGCTAGAAGGTAGACTATTTGTGCTAGCCATATTATGAGAATATACGATATATCTGATATGATCTGGGTTATTTTTCTCCCCACAGCACCCACTCTGCCTAGTTTCACCTTGGATATGTGCCGCTGCCTTCTTGCTTCCGTGGATGTATCCTGAAATATGAACATTCCCCCGGTGGTGTGTAGACCATCAGTGGTCCAGCACCTATGCATCCATTATCAGAGTGGTTGTACTGTCCTCCTTCTAAACTCCAGAAACCATTATCAACGCCCTCAGCGGCAATACCTGCGGTTATTACACCGCTGTCTGTTCTCTGAGATTAAAGGGTTATTCTAGTGTGACCCTAACGGACCCTAAATTATCTATATTATGATTATTGGCAGTGCCTTACAACAATATTAAGGGGGAAGTTAACAGGAAATTAGATAAACTAGTCGAATTGTGACAGTAATGATGGGTTGATGAGGATCCTGCTCCAAGGAGCTTACAATCTAGATATTTGAATTAACTATGTAGATTACACATTACAATATTGCAAAATAAATAATTTAGACAATAACAAAATTAAAATTTTACTTATCTTAAAGAGTCCCAGAGCTGCAAGCGGAATACAGAGCATGTGCCCTTTTAAACACAGCAACATTCCTGTGGTTTCCAATGTGATTGCTTCACTTTGACAGAATTGCATCTTCTAGGTGCAGCCTGGTGTGAGACATTGCAGACCAAATATGAGATAGAAATGGGGTTCTACGTTCAGATAGCGTGTAGTCTTTACCTCTGTTTATCCTGAACATTTAATATGGAATTCCCTGCTTTGATGAGTACAGTACGCAGTAGATGTGACAATTGTGCCCCTGTCCCCTCATCATTTCTCTTCTGTTGTGAGTCCATAACTCCTGCCAGACAGCTGCTGTAGGTTCCATAGACTATGAGCAGTTTACTGAACTCTGGAAGGCCATCTCAACTGGGACGGTGAGTACTGTATCCACCCTCTCAATATTAGAACCTGCAGTGATAGCAATAAAGCAACAAAGATTTGTATCTATCTGCAGCGCATATTCTATAACATGCCCAGGCAGGAGGATGGCAAACTTGGCAAAGATCAGATTGTACCAGCCCTGCAGGCCGCAGGTAAGAAATTCGTAAAGTTCATTCATTAAAAAAAATCTTTATTTTAAAAAGTTTATTGATTATGTCCAAGTACAGGGGGCTACAGTCCCTTTAAAACCCAATTAGATATATGTGAAAAATCCAATAAATAAGATAAAATAAAAATACAATATAGTAAAACAATACAATACGCTGTAGTAATACAATATGGTATAATACTGTGACAGATCCCCTGTTTTACCTTGACTGGTCTGGTATACGAATACCACCGAACAGATTGGACAATTTTGGTTTGTATAATGAACAATATACCAAATGGATAGACCACTCAGAACAGTTGTATGCCGCTCATTAACCTGCCTTCCGGTTTAATACGGCCCTGCAGTTAATTTGGTAAATCTATCTGTTGTGGCCCCAGTGAATCCCCAAGCGCCGCTCAGGACCCCTAGGATCTCTGGATCTTTGAACGCAGTGGTCCTGAGCGATGCTCGGGGATTCACTGGGGGCAAAGAGATTGCGAGAACGCAGACGGACGTGCAATGACCTCAGTCTGCATTGTCGCAATCTCTTGGACGTCACGGGATCGCAGGATTTAGTGCGCACGATTGCAGAATTTGGTTCCTTCTCCCTGCTGGAACAAAACGAATGGACAGCATAAAAAGGTACAGAATAAAGAGGGATAGAATAAAAAGGGACAGAATAAAAAAGGACAGATTAAAGAGAGAAGGGACAGAACAAAGAGGGACAGAATAAAGAGAGAAGAGATAAAATAAAGAAAGGAGGGACAGAATAAACAGAGAAGGGACAAGGGACAGAATAAAGAGAGAAGGGGAAGAATAAAGAGAGAAGAGACAGAATAAAGAGAGAAAGGGCAGAATAAAGAGAGAAGAGACAGAATAAAGAGAGAAGGGGCGGAATAAAGAGAGACAGAACAGAATAAAGAGAGGAGACAATAAAGAGACATAATAAAGAGATCTGAGACAGAATAAAGAGATGAAATGAAAAGTATGCTGTTTGCAAAAAACTTTGCATAAAATAGTTCATTTGCATTTAATTTTAATGGTTCAAAGAATGTCAGGCAAAATGGTTGGCCCTCACGCATGTTCACGTCATCAGATATGGCTCTCTTTGAAAAAAGTTTGGACACCCATGTGCTAGAGGAAGTGGGATATAGTGATACAAAAGGTATAAATAGGGGTAACGAAAAAGGTTGCTAGAAAAGTGATCACTGAGAACTTAGTAGATTATTTTTGACAGTTGCAAGAGAGGAGTCATGAGGGCGCAGGCTGACAACCTGCTAACAGTTTCACTGATATGCTTCCTGAAGAAGTGTGTTTTCAAAATTTTAAGGAGTGGGTGAAAGTCTAATAGAGAAGGGAAGGGAGTTCCACAGAAAAGGTGCAGCCCTGGAGAAGTCTTGGAGGCGAGCATCAGAGGTGGGAGTACGGGCAGAGGATAGACGTAGGTCTTCGGCAGAGCGTAGGGGGCTCGACGGGACATACTTGTGTATTAGGGGGGATAGGTAGATTGGAGCAGCAATATGTAGGGACTTGTAAGCAAACACCAAAATCTTAAATTGAGCCCTATATCTAACTAGAAGACAAAGCAGGGACTGACAGAGCGGGGAGGCGTGAGAGGTGCGGGCAGACAGGAAAATGAGCCTCGCTCCTGCGTTCATTATAGACTGATGAGGTGCAATCTTGGAGCACGTAAGACCACTGAGAAGTGGATTGCAGTAGTCAAGGCGAGAAAGAACAACAGCATGGACAAGCACCTTAGCTGCGTCCGATGGTAAATAGGGGCGGATGCGAGCTATGTTTTTGAGATGGCAACGGCAGGATTTGGCGATTAACTGGACATGAGGGGTGAAGGAGAGGTAGGATTCAAAGAGAAAACCTAGGCAGTGAGGTAGAGGTCATGGTGGCGCCGTTGACTTGGAGGGAGACAGACACAGGAGTAGCAACACTTGAGGGAAGAAAGACCAGAAGTTCTGTTTTGGACAGTTGAAGCTTAAGGAAGTGATCCGCCATCCTGTAGCCCATGGATCACCGCAGCTAAGAGGAATAGGCCTTGACAGAGCCAGGAGGTAGACATAGCAGCCACAGGGAGTTAGTGACAGCTAGCATGCTGGGTAGGGCGGAGCCATAAGGGGAGTATTTATACCAGCCATTATATGAAGTGGCCATTTTAACTGAACCTAAGCTTACCTGTCAGTTGTGAAAGCTGCCTGCCCTGGAGGGAGAAGGCAGCAGCATGGAGGCAGCATAGCAGAACAGGCAGCATGGAGGCAGCATGAAGAACAGGCAGCATGGAGGCAGCATAGAAGAACAGGCAGCATGGAGGCAGCATAGAAGAACAGGCAGCATGGAGGCAGCATGAAGGCAGCATGAAGGCAGCATGAAGAACAGGCAGTACTGAGACAGGAGGCAGCATGGAGATACAGGAGAGGCTGGAGTGAGCTGCTACTACATGATCACTCCCATGAGCAGCATGGAGGCAGCATAGAAGAACAGAGGCAGCATGGAGGCAGCATAGCAGAACAGGCAGCATGGAGGCAGCATAGAAGAACAGGCAGTACTGAGACAGGAGGCAGCATGGAGGTACAGGAGAGGCTGGAGTGAGCTGCTGCTGCATGCTCACTCCCATCAGCCTCAGACAGAACTCCAAGCAAGCCACCATCCTGGTCACAAAGGTTGTGGCAGAATCGTGGCTGGTGGCTGCAGGAGCAGCTGGGGGGCCCCGAGCACTTCTGCTACCCTCCTCCCCCCCCCTCACGCGGCGGTGGAACAGAGGCCAGCAAGGAGAGCGAGGATGCCCCAGCGGCAGCCCGTGAGCCTGTCAGGAGGCGGCAAGGGGAAGGCTGAAAATGAGGTCGGAAAGCAGGCAGGAGTTGGAGGGAGCGGCTGGCGCCGTATGTTCGGTGCCGGTCAGGCAAGGTGGCAGGTCAGGATGAGGCCGCACAGGAAGAGCGCCCACTGCAATAAGGCGGGGGGGGGGGCGGGAAAGCACAAAGGACAGCGGAATCCAGCATGACATGATGGCCGCCAGGCAGGGAGAGCAGCAAGAGGCGTCTTGGTGAGTCTGCCCCTGGTGGCATACCTGAGGGACGGGGGGAATGATGCAAGGGCCCAGCAGTGTAAAAGCGGTCCCCCCCGCCCCCAATGGGCAGGCGGGGGTGGGGGGTCCAGGTCGGCGGGACACAGACAGAGGCGGCCCTGGATGGGGCCAGGGTCAGGTCAGAGGTGAAGGAAGGGGATAGTGAAAGCAGCAGGCGGAGTCTTCACAGGTGCAGCAGAGCAGCTATGGAGGGGAAGGCCAGCAACCAGGATTAAAGGGGCCACAAGTGGATGAGGCGACTGGGGAGAGGCCAGGTACTGCAAGCAGAGGGCAGAAGAGAGGACATGGACGGGTGGAAATGGACGCAAGGCACAGAGGCAAGCGGGAGCCCCATGGGGGGCGTTCTCAGGAGCAGGAACACAGGAGGAGCATCAGCAGGTGTGAGTACGGGAGGGAGCAGCGCAACGACAATGACAAGCACAACAGCAGCGGGAGGTCGGATGAGGGATGGAGGAGCAGGTCGAGGAGTGTTACTTTTACGGGCTTGAGGCTGCACCAGCGCGGACAGGAGTCGGCATCCACCGGATACTCCAGAGCCTGGCAAGGTGGATGGAAGGACAGCGCAGACGGGGGTTCGGGCGGTGAGTCAATAAACACACCACACTTTTTTAAATTGCAAAAATCATTTTAGAGTCATGATCAAGGAAAAAGGGGGCCGTCTCGCGGTGCGGAAGGGTGGGGTCACCAGAGCGCAGTCGGGAGGCCGAAGTAAGGGTGGTGGTGACGGCGTGACGGGTAAGGGAAGGGGAATACGGTGTACCGGTACCGGGGACATCTGACGGGCAGGAGAACAGTTAGATGTGTGGCAATATTCCAGGCGCGGCGCAACAAAATGGGTATGTGTCCTTCGCGGGGACATTGGGGGGGCACTTGAAGGCGGAGGATAAGATTTGATAAAGGGGATTTGAAAAAAAAACAAAAAACATTTCCCGTCTTCCACTCGAGGAGTTCATTGATTTAAAAGGGGTGGTTTCTAACGATGGTGCAGGAAATGCGCTCTTTCCGGGGGCTGCCGGCGCACCCCCAGGCTTCGATACGGGTGTTCCGGAGGCGGTGGGAGTCACGGTGTCAACTGACGCGTCAAGAAAGGAAAACCTAAGGCAGGAAGGGTACTCGGCAGGAGCGGCACCAGTGATGATCAGTGCATTGCTGCTGTGGCTAAGGCAGTAAGCCTCCCATGAATGCGCTAGTTTTATGGATGGGATTGTTGAGGGGGTTTACGCTATTCCATTCAAAGTCAGGGGACCAGGAAAAGTGGTGGCCGAATATCAAGTCCATGGGGGAACTTCCGCGCCATTAGCGGACCTGTGGGTGTCTCCATGGGGGGGTGGTCCCATAGAAATGGGCGGGCAAATTCCGTCCGATACAAAACTTAACGCACCCGAAAGGGGCATCGGTAAATGAGGACATCGCCGCGGAACTGTTCTGTATCGTTGGCATCATTCGGCCTTGCCGTCGAGTTGGTTTGGGGGAACAGGAAGCGTTCGATTATTGGCGACCCTTCCATCTTTTGGGTTGCATGTTTGCAGGTTCCTATTGGTAACCACTACTTGCCAAGGGGCAGTTCCATTCATGTTCCTACTTCGGGAAGTTGGATCCGTCTGGGAGTGGGAGGTGAAGGAGGAATCAGAAAGGGGTTCCTTAGTACATTATCTGTAAGATAGCTTGCTGTGTGGGCTCGGCTGGGCCAGGACGTTGTGGACATACCTTACGGTCGCGGGAATCCTACCGCACGTCTTTGCTTGGGCTGGAAATTGTTTCGGTGGTAGGAGAGTGTCGATTGCCTGGGGTTCAGTTGACTTCACTTCGGGAGTTCAGGCTGAAGGTTCGCAGGTCCAAGAAGGTCACTGAGAAATCGCAGTTGTTCATAAGGCAGTTTCAAGTTGCATGTCGGGTTAGTCGCGAGGACTGGGTCGGTAACCATGTCATGGCGAAGGCTACTTGTGGAGCCTTTGCGGGTGGTATCGAGTTGTTCACGGATACCTCTGGGAACATAGAGTCCGGGGCATACCTGGAAGGCAGGTGGTGCACAGAGCGGCGGTGGGAGGCATGAAAGGTAAGTCCTCTTATTCGAAGTTGGCATCTTTTGAGTTATTTCCATTGGGAGTGGCTGTGGCTCTAAAAGGTGAAGTATTAAGGGATGAAAAGTCATAATTCACGCACAATACGGCGGGGTTCATGTGGTTTACCATCCAGCCGGGACCTCGGTTCAGGAGGTACGCTGATGGCGGCGATTCGTATCACTGTTCAGGTATCGGGTGCAGGCACGCCATGTGCCTGGTTGGCGGAAGGTAGGGGCTGGTTACTTGGCTCGCGCACAAGGGGACAAGCTGCGAATGGCGGCCCCAGGGGGCGCGGGAGGAGGGACAGTCCGGTCTGGAGGAAATGTGGCAGCTTGAGACGCCATGCTTGGAGGATCGATACAGAATCCTATGGCACCGGGCACAGGGACTGCCTATGTGAACGTTTGAGATATGTGGGACAAGGCGGTTGGTTTCACTGTGGGGGCCCAGTCAAAGGAGGAGCGAAGGGATACCTTGCTGTGGTTCCTAAGCCGTGTGTTCGTTCAGCGTTAGCTCCATCGGCAATGGACAGGAGCATGGCGGCATTGTTGTTAGGGTTCAAACTGACGGATTGGGAGGAAGTGACGGAACGTTGTCACGTCCGTCAGGCATCGCGGGTCTTACGGAGAGGTATGAAATATGTCGGTGCCGGGCGGCGGGTTTCCTTGGGTAACGCAACACCTGGTGGTGTATTACTCTACTTTTGCAGTGAGTTTGCTTGCAATTTGGATTGGGGAACTGGTAAGTGCCTTCGGGCAGGTGTTGGGGGGTTCTACACTCGGTTGTCGAACCTCAGTCGGTTAAGGTAACGATTCAGTAGGGTTGTTCAAGAACGGATGTGTCTGATAAAGGAGGTTTGGTAAAGCTATATTCCCTGCCGGGGTCAGGGGTATGCCCGGTGTTAAGCGCATCATGCTACTTGGAGCTTTGCCCGGACATCCCGGGTGGCTTACTGGTAAAAGGGGACAGATTGGTGCTGTCACGATTAAATTCCCGCAGGTGTTTGTTCGGAGGGGTTTGACAATGTTGGGTTTGGATCCCGGGCACTTTGGGACCCATTCTTCCCGGATGATGGCGGTAACAGAGGCGCCCCGCCTGGTTTTAAGTGAGGACCTAGGGAAACGTTTAGGCAGGTGGGAGTCAGTACGGTTTAAGTCCTGTTTCAGGCCAGTCTATTTGGTTTAATGGCTATGGACGTATGGGTTTGTGTTTGGGGCTATGCCTTGTCGCTAATTACTTTCGTTTCAGGTTTGGTGACATAGTTGGTGGGTCATTCTTATATCTAAGGGGCACAGATGGGAGCCGTGTTTCGGTTCAAACGCATCTGGGCTTTCCTTTGGAATTGGTGGAGCAGGAGTGGTTTTGGTTTTTGGGGATTCCGGGAGGTAACAAGGGGTACTGTCCAGGACATTCTGGATATTGGCATGGTCCCGGAAAAGGAATTGATCAGGTGGAGGCAGAGGGAGGTGGACCGGCTATGGGAGCTGGCCACGGGTGTGGTGGTGGTGTGGTCCGAGATGGTTCCTCGGTTACATTGGAGACATACTACGTACCCAGCCGTGGTAGCTCGGTGTCGAGGACGACTTAATAAAAAATTGATGGCGGTATTTATCAGATATGGGGGCGGTGTAACAGTGAGACACAATGAATTGGGAGGAAAGCTCCCTGGGTACTCCAGGTGGGATGGGGTACATTTTCGGATGTAAGGTGTGATCTGTTTAAATTGGGCCTTCAGGAAGGCATTCAACAGGCCTTATTCCGGTGTGGTGGGGGTCGCTCAGGAGCTTTAGGTGTCAAGTCCTGAGCTGTGGCGGGGAATGACCTGGTTAAATCGGAGGGTAGATGGAGGAGAAAGTGGGCATCCTGAGGTTTAGTGTGGATTGGGCAGTGTTGCACGTGGTTGGTAGGTTCGAGCCCGTCGGTGGCTCCGAACCTGGGGGTGTGGTGGTGTCTTGGTACACCCTACACTGGAACTGGTGGGTAGCAGTGTCTTGGTACACCCCTACAATGGATATGGTGGGTAGCGGTGTCTTGGTACACCCCTACAATCGATATGGTGGGTAGCGTGTCTCGGTACACCCCTACAATTTAACCTGGTGGAAATGTGGTCAAATTGGGCGGCCAGTTTCTGTGTTAACA